GATGTAGTTGAAATAAAACATAATATGGAATCATTTGTATATTTCCATTAATGAGACTAATACATCCGCAGCGAATACAACTCTCTGTAACCATAATATATTACTCCGAGCTATACACATGTGTGAATTTATAAAACATATCAATTACATAACACCTAAGAAGCAAGTTGTAGTGAGGTTGTCTATGGCAGGCCTAGTGTGGTGAGTCAGTTTTACACTATAACAACATTTTTACAAATATTATGTTATTTTACCAGACAATCGTACGCTCTGAATTAATCATACATTATAACTTAACATTAATTATACAGTATATCAACAGAAATTAACATTTCTTTTTTAAATTTATGAATATAAATAAAAAAGTCTATTAAATAATTTGGGATCTACGAAAACAACTAAAAACCAATAAAAATTAATAAAATATTTTTATTCACCGAGATCAAAAATGAAAATGTTTGCCATGTAATACTTTGTTTAATATCTAATTAAATTAAAAATCAATAATATATAAGTAGGTATTAGACAGATAAGTCTGCCCTGGTCATAAAAGACTGTACTAAAACAACACTGCAATTTAAGACAAGTGTTATATTACTTATATATACTAAGTGTGTAAGATAAGTTCCAATTCTTATCTATTTCTGACACCAAATAGTAATGCTTGTATTGTTGTATACCGAATATGAAGGGTACAGAGAGCCGGTCGAATGAAAGGCTGTGTGTCATTCCATCTTAGAGCTCAGAGGTGACAGCGCATCCGTAGCCTACATTATTTGTTTGAAGTTGGTTACAGGTGTCCACTAACCATAGAATCACTTATCATCATGTTCACTTATCACTTCAGTTTTTTTTTAAATCATATACATTATAAATAAAAAAAACAAACGACACGCGTAAAATGAGTAAATAATGAAGATTAATAAATATTTTCCTTTTCCTAATTCTCTTCTTTATTTTGTTTTCAATTATATTAAATGACGAACGGATGAAATGATTTACTGACCCCCGCTTAAACGTCGCGTAGTTATTGTTTATATTTTTATAATTTCGTTTGAAATTCCAATTAAATAATAGCAGATATTTCTTTTGTTTTGGTATCTTAATTAAAATGATTACATTTTTTATAGTATCCATACAATAAGAACAATAATTATTGTCAATGAAATGATATAGAATTAAATATGTTTAGAATTTGATAGTATAAATTTTATATGATAAGTAAAAATTATGTATTGATCAAATCGCTAGTTATAGATATGTAATATTATAATTAACAAAAAATATAGAATTGCAATAAACTATAAATAAAAATAAAACCAGGCAGTCCCAATTTCGTGTTATTTTTAAAATGAAAATAATAATTTGGATTTCGCAACATTATTTCTTTATACCGAATGGCTTTTATACCATGAAGAAAAAATAGGGTGTAATGGGTACGTGAAGAAGAAGCCTATGGCATAGATATTTTTCAAACTTATTCTTAGCTTTGAAAAAAAAAAACCAAGTACAAATAACTAAATTCAATAACTAGGTAATCCTTTACTCGTGATAATTATCAATGAATAAAAAGTTTAATTTAAAGACCAATTTGATAAAATTTCAATGGAAATACAGACAATAAATTTGAATGATATCAATGCCATTGACTTCTACTTTTTTCACTTAGGGTGTAAACCCTATTACGTATCCTAATTTATTCCTCTCGGTTTAAAAAAGTCACCCAGTAAATGGATATGTGGCATAATTATATTATAGACATTTTCTATACACAAAAGAAATATGCAAAGTATTTACAAATATCATAATATAGCTTAAAAAAGACGAGAGATATGGCAAGTTAATTATTATAGTTACATTAGAGACAAAACATTTACTCTAGCTAGCCTATAAACTATTACATGCCATTTAACGACACAATTTTTTGTATAGCTGCAAACACAACATATTAATAAATGCCATTAGAAAAAAAAAAGATTAATTAAAACGTATCATGACTGTTTACAATTATACATACAATCGGATCATTACTATTTTCATGTATGGTTGTGTTGCCAGTATCTTTATTGGATGTTAGGTAATTCATACAAGTTTGGATTGACACATGTACTTGTATCACTTATATTTTAATTTACTAACTAAAAACCATCCGGTTCCGCCCGGGGCATTCCGAAGGGTATATACCCTGATGATGCTGTGATAACAAAATACATGTGTTAATCCTAATCACAAACGAAGTTACACCAAGTGGCAACAATCGGAAATATAAATTATATTCTTAATTACAGTCTTCAGAGGTAACCACACACCTATAGTATGCTTGGATTGAAGTTGGTTGATGGTGTCCAAGAGCTGCAGCAGCCACCGACAGGTTGACTCTGTTAGTTCGTTTGCCACACTGATGTTATAAACGCACTATGCGCGTTGCGTTTAAAATAATTTCACTGTCATTTTTAGACTGTTAGATTAATAAGATTAATAAGTGATTTAATATATTGAAAGAATGTATACGGCTAAGGTGTCCGACGTAGCGGTAGCCATAACACGCAAGTGCATTGTAGTCACAAAATCAATAAAATAAAAAGAATTAATATTGATTAAATGCATTTCTTAATTTGATTTTTGCACAATGATGCTAATCTTATCCTGCGCACGTATTAGGTGGCAAATCGGCAATTTGCACCTACCATAGTGGTGGATATTTATATTCATAGACAAGCATATGCAAAAGTCATCAGCCATACAGCCTTTTCATAATCCCGTCAGGGGCAACACAGGCAATGAATGTCGGATTAAGTAGGTATTATATATGAGTATATTATTATAATAAGTAATAATAAGCAGATGTGTATAAAAAAGTAATATCGATTAAAGTCATAAGAATATGTTAAATGTTTTCATTTTCGCCTTCTAACGCAAACATATTATAATGCGGTAGGTAATATTCTACAATTCTAAGAACACTTATACATAAGCTCGTGCACGTGTGTGAAATTTAACGCAACTATTTTTTTCAATCAGCTAACGTCAATACTATCAATTTTAAAGTTGGTTAAGGTAAAAATTTATAAGGGGTGGAAGCCATACACTTTTGTATCTCGCGCCAAACATACACTAACCTCAATAAAGATTTTAGTCTTAGGGCAGTGAGTATTGCATACCTTAATACATAATGTCAAAAAATGATTCACGTTCACATGTATTTTTTATAATTCATAATATCAATATTACTAATCGTGTGTGTTACAATGACATCCCTTTTTGTAAATGCAAAGCAAGTATTTTATATATATTTTAATAGATATATATTAATACAATACAAAATTAAATGGTTTTTGATATATAGTAATGGAAACGTAAGCGGCGTTTGTACACATAATTTTATAATACATATAGGAGATATTTTTTTAATATAATATGCATAATGGAATTTACAATCTAAATACTGAATTCAAAAGAATTTACCAATTTAACTACTCATTATCTGCCTTCCAAAGACTATCTACAAATATCTACTAAACATTTTCAGCATAATTAATTGAATAAAACATACTTAACAAACGTAATAAAATACACAAATCTAATATGGCGCATATATGTATGAATCTCTAAAAATAAGTGCCATTTGCTGTAAGGCTATATGTTCATAAGGTTCATGCTCGGCTCTAAGTTCTTTTTCGCCCATAGACGAAGTATATTCATTCTGGGAGGAAACGCAGCCAGGGTCTTGGCACTTTACTGCAGGGAGTAGGGCTTTTATGTTAATTTTAGTTTTGTTTTAGTGTTATAAATATAGCATAAATTAAGTAAATCAATAACTAATATATCACAAAAACAATATAAATTTTATTACTTTAATAAGAATGTGTTGTTTTATTAAATTAGCCAAATAGCGCTGAAGTGCTTTCAATGTTACGGAATTTAAAAAAAAATCTTTCAACTTATATTTCATTTCCTTTAAAACATTATAATTATCAATTCCCACAGACAATTCAAACCAAAAGTCAATTTTAAACGCGATAAAATCCGTATTTTTTTATATTTCTGTAAATTTAAGCAATTATTAATGAGTTAAAATATAAATTAGGTATTTAATATTATTTGCAAAAAGAACTTAGCAATATAAATGACGATATAAAATTAAAACATTGCAAGTATGAAAAATTGTGTTTTTAAATGATAATGTTTTTATTTTGATTACATGGAAACAAAGCTAAATCGAATTTATAATGTTTAATTTTGTCCAAGTTGTTTCATTTTTAATGTACTTCATAACCTCTACGAAGACCTCTTTGTATGTATACATGTACGCGTATTGTATACGTTTTAGGACGTGTAGCATTTTGGTACTTTATATGTACTTAAAACGATAACAGAGAGTTCTCGGACAGAAATTACTGTGAAGGAACCTTTTTAGTATTAATTAAGCTTTTAATGCCAATACAACTTTATTTTTATGATATTTTCTGATCATAGCTAAAAAATTGAAATCGTACAAATCCTAACCACAGTTTTTAACAAAAACAAAATACATAATGTGTACAACCAATTATATATGTAAATATAAATTTGACTAGCGGTATAGTTTTATGTGCACTTACAATTCGAACAATATTATCATTATTAGTTATAAAATTCATATTTTCATTTGTTTTTCATAAATATTTTGCGTTTATAATCTACTTCACTCTGGGTTGCCAGACTAACTAATACACGGACTACCCATTCTAGTGTTAAGGTGAAAACTAAAAACAAAGTAAGGACTAGTATAACGTCCGCTGGGAAACATTAAAAACATCTTTATACTTTTTAGTTTATCTTATAATGAAAAATATTGTGTATAAATATCTGCTTACTCACTCTCATATACTCCGTTTCATCTGACAGCCCAGGAGAGTTCACTTTAAGCGACACAATGGCGCCCTAAAAATAATATTTACAGGCAACGAATGCCTCTACACTAATATCGATCCAACCGAAAGAAAAACAGAACGCTTCTGTCAACCCATCGATAGGTTCTTTACCATGGTAACATCGTGGCTTCGTCGATTAAGTTCCTTTGCCTCTTTGGTTATATTGGATTCGACAAGCATGGAGTGCCTTTTCGCGTTGAGATCCTTCTTCCTCCTGACGACGTCCGGGCTGTATGGTTCGGAGTCACGCCTGTCGAGATTTGTGTGAGCGTGTGCTTGGACGTTTGTAAGAGATCCCTGTCTATGTAGAGACGGAGATGGCTGCTGTTCTTGATTCATATTTGGTAGATATGTTTGGAATGATGGACGATTTTGTGCCGCCTCCATAATGGAACCTATTGAAGATAGGGACAAAATAATTAATTTTGTATAAATTATACACTCGAAAAAAATTTTTATTATTTACTCAAGCATTTTAGTAAGCTATTACATATTACATACGTTGTTCTGTTAGTAGTTATCTCAAAATTATATTTTATAATAAAATATCTAAACAAAGGTATCAAAAATTATATCAGTTTAACTGAAGATTAATATAAATTACGAAATGAACGAAACATGTAAAATAAATTTAAAACTAACTCACTAAAACAACCTTTCGTTCCGTGCTCATTGTGGTATCATATTAAGTTACATACAACTCTAAATAAGAGTATAGATTATCTTCCATTTATTATTAATTTACACCTAAACATGCAGAATCAGTAGTAGTTAATACATTATATATTATTATTAAAAAAAACTTTGCAGGTAGTATCGTTTTTATAAAGTAAGAGACGTCAACTACTATTTATGTAGTAAAGTATATAAATTCTGAAATAAAGAAAAAAACGAAATAAAGTTTGCCAAGTAAGCGCAAAATAAAAAATACAAGCAGCATCCCATTATTAATGTAGTGCCACACGTTACTAAAATTTATTTTACAAAAGATTAAAATTTAAATAAATATGTAATATGTCAAGAAAAATGTATAAAATATTCAATAAAACTAACGAATTCACAAATGAATTACTTTAAAAGAAAACATGTGTTCAGAACGGGAGACCGAGGTAATAGGAAAAATTGTAAACTGTATTCTATCTCATTCTTCCACAGGCTAAATCCTATAGGTGTATAAGTTTGTCTCTTTTTATATCTTTTTCGTTTTATTGAGTTTCAAGTGACAACGATTCAAAAAGAGTTTTTACTTCAAAAATCTTACAAAATAGATACCTGAGTAAGATGCCAGCAAAATAAGGGCGTAAAAGAAGTCATAGACACCCTAAAGTCCATTATTTTATTTTATTATATTATTTATCACCTGTTGGAGAAAGACAGCATAATATGCAGCTTAATTTGAAATCATACCACGTTTATGATACTTTATAAATTTAATATACTATATTAAATAAACTTTTAACATCTTTCTATTTAAATTGGTTTAACTACCGAATTATTGACACATTTTATGAAAACTACTATGTAATTAATAAAACCACTTAATGAAAAAAAATTGTACAAAAACAACTACCAAGTGTAGCACTACACTAATCTGAGACAACTACACCATAGGTTCCGACTATGCGAGCACGATAAGAATAAAGCCTTGGATATACTTGGAGGCAAAAGGAGCAGCAAGTTGCGCAACGTGTTGCTCAACAACTACCTGAAATGTCTCGAGGCATATGTCGCAGAACATTTTGCAGGCCACACTAGTCAGTGCTTATAGAAATGTCGCCCGAATAGATTGTGACGATTAGTGCCACGTATGTAGTACTTATTTCGGGAGTGAAACGTAAGCGAAAGAGAAGGCGATGGATGCGGTGAATTTATTACTACAACGAGAAGGAAGAAGAATTAATGTTTTAAGTGATCTCCGAATGTCTGACAGATCTTTTGTGAATTTTACTAGAATGTCAACATCTGATTTTGAAACTTTATCACAAATGATCGGACCTTCCATGCCATTGCATTAAGATACTTTTCGACTGGAGATTCTTATGCTTCCTTGTCGTAAACTTTTCTACCGACTTCAAAAAGGAGGAGGTACTCAATTCTACTGCATGTTTTTTTTATGTGTGTTACCTCATAACTTTTTTCAGTGTGAACCGGTTTCTATGATTTTTTCTTTCTTTGAAAGCTGGTGCTTTTCATGTGATCCCATATAAATTTGATCAAGGTCTGATCAATAGTTTTTGTGTTATTTTTATTCTTTATATTGAAGTCGGTTGAACAAGATTATAAATTTTAAATTATCGAGTGTCGAAACAACTGATCATCAGAACAGTACCAGAAGTTTGTGGTTTGAAGTATCCCACAAGAAAATATGACTCTGATAAAGCTCAAGAAGTAAAAGCACGTAGTGACATGTTGCAAGGCAAGTCGCGCACACGACTACACCCGGGAACAATGGCGCGGCACTGAACACGTGCGCTCGCTCTCGGAGCGGGGACATGTAACAAGTCCCGCGTCACGGAAAACGTTGTGGGCTTTGATTATATATATGCCATATCAAAGGTTGCGGGCCATGTTGCGGGTCACTGTGCAACTTTGCATCGTAACGTAGATTGAGTGTTCCACGTCATATTGCGGGACAAAATGTCCTCTAGCGTATCCGGGGTTAAGACTGTCAAACTGACGATCCGCTTAGCAATGTGCATGTGGGTAAAGATATGAAAAAAATGAAACTGAAAGATAAATTTAGTAAAGATTTTTTGTCATTTAAATTGTTCTTATCTTTATGTTAAGGTCGCATTTTTTTCCTTATTGAGTTCTAAATAATAAAGTAGTCAGTAAATCTAATAATGTTCTTACCCTGCTCGCAAAGTAGTATAGTTGTAATTCACGAAGTCGAGCGGGCTTTTCTTGTGGTAAACACGTATCTGTATACCTGTCAAAGTGTGCGTAAAACCAAAAGCGGGTCACACACGCACACTATCGCAATATGCACTTACTCGTGCAACCACGAGTAAAGTCCGCCATTTAAAAACTAAATAATGCTATTCAATGTTATAATGAAAAATATTGTATTATAAATATAAACATGCAATTACCAGGAATGAAATGTAAGCGTATTCCAGCCATCCCATAAGAACATCAAAAGGAATCAGAGGATATTTTAATATTACCATCAGGAGTTTAGTATTAAATACATTAAAACTATCTTATGTCATTTAGATCTTGTGGTGTCATAATTAGTGTGATAACCAATTATCTAATGAAAAAAATAAAAAATTCAACGTGGTTATTTCAGCTTACGCTACGTTACTAGTTAACTTCTACGTGAGCACTGTACTTTTCCTGGTGGCAATAAATAAAATATTTGGAAGGTATAATATTACGATGAAACACGAGGGGATGAAACATAGGGGACTAAAAATCCGCCCGCTCTCCATTCCACTTTCATCCCCGTTTGTAGTAGGCTTAAATGGATTTTTTTTCACCTTTCCCTACTAGGAAATATACTACCTACGTACATATTTAGAATGAAACATCTTTATGTCCTATTACATAAAGAATTTGGAGACACTTCCCTTGATCCCCATATTATTTTAGCAACGTAACTGATAGACCTCAAAAATCATTTTTCACATATACTTTTTGCAAAAAAAACACTTTTACAGTCATCATAGGAAATGTAGCATAGTTTGTATTTTGTGACGTGATTTGAAATTGACATAAAAATAAAGTTATAATTACAAAGTAATACTATGAATCGAGGTACTCAACAAAGACATAATATTTAAACATGTTCTATGTGGTAGAGCCATGCTGAAGCTACTTTAATCGTATAGTTGTAGCACGAGTGGATCAGCTCGACCGGGAAAGGACCACGCTCTCTCAGAATACTAGCGGAAAATAGCAGCTTAACTGCTGTGTTTCGTATGGTAAGTGTAGAGAACCGGAGACCCTTTTTACAGGAAAAGAGGCATTTCATCTTAGTCCTCGCGGGTGACAACGCATCTGCGTTTTGATTCGCAAACGAGGATAGATGTAGATGTCTATGGGTCACAGCAACCACTTGGTGGAAAACGAGTACACAGTGGACTGTGTGCTCGTTTGTCACCTTATCCTATAAAAAAAACAATCGACATTTTCCTATATGGCTCACGGGTCACTGGTGAGGAAAATGGTTAGACATATCAATGTGATTGTACATATTTCTTGATAGTACTGTACACAGTGGAAAAGTATCCCTAGTGGTGGGAAAATTGAAAATAAATCACATATAATCCTACCAGTGAGGATAGATTGGTTGGAGATACGTGGAACAGGCGAAAATATCTAAACTCCTATATGACTACTTGATTCGAAGTAATTTATGATCATTAGTAACAAAATGGTCGCTAAACAGGCAATGGACATCAAACAACAGAAATAGAGAAATGCATCGCAATCACCTCGGCTCTGGTAAGTTCGATCGTCTGGTTAATGACCTACAATGGGTAAACGCACAAGTTTAATTTCTATTACGACCGTTACAGAGATGAATTTGGAATACACTTTGAAAAATTAAAAAAGCGCAAATAAAACAGCATTAGCTAATTTAATTAATATTAAATTATTTATAATAAACAAGAATAGGTATGCCATTTTGTTAAAAGTATTCATTTAATTTTTGAGTCAAATAAAGTGAAGTCCTATATTTTTGAACCATCTTTAAATATATCTTGTATTAAACTTAAACGCTTATGAAAGCCGTCTCCATTAAGATATATAAGTAAATAAAAGGTCACTAGATAACACATGTAATAATAATAATAATGTCCTCCAGACCGAATTTCGGCCACGGCGGCCAGTCTCAACGGTGACTAGCCATCCGCGCAGGACATGATTATAGTGCCCAAGTGTATGCGCAAGCACAGGTGCACTCTCTATTTCCTCACTCTCATAGCCCGATGGGACGGTAAACCGACACGACCGGAGAGAGATCAGGCGCAGGACCAACGGCTTTACGTGCTTTCCGAGGCACGAGGGTGAAACACCGCCAATTTCCTGACTCCGGGCAGCTACTGAGAGTTTCTTTATGGAATAACTCAATAACTGATTTTTTGACCCGACTCTGGATTCGAACCCGGGACCTCACGATCAGCAGTCGCACTACTACAACCACTAGACCGACGAGGCAGTCAATATGCAAACGAAGAAAAACTTGAAACTTTATTACGGCGTAATAAAGTTTCAAGTTTTTACAAAAAATAAAGATTATACTATAATAAATAGAACGGTTATTTAATAGATAGGTACGGTAGTAAGAAACTGGTGAAGAAGATTTGTGATCATCATAAAAAATAAATGATTAAAAAAAATGAAACAAGATCACATTTATATGACTGTAATTTAAAAAGGAAAATATATAATATTATATTCCATTAATTACGCAAACAGAAGCAGTTTTTATTTTTTTATTTGTGTTTGAAGTAGAATTATTAGACATGCAGTCGACAGTACTTTTGCAATGCGCATCTATGTATGTGTATGATGCAAATAAGATTTAGGCTTACCCAGTGTACGAACGAGCCATGGCGTCACCGTCTGTTTTTGATTCATTTGCATCTCATTCAGCGCAGAGTTCAACTGATGACTCAGTTCCTGAAAATTCAGACGTCTCTTTACTCAAAGCACAAGTCACAAAACACTTTCGGTTGCACATTTAGACTTCGACCAAAATTACACTGCAATTTTGACCGCAGAATAAGTTTCTAAATTCAGACCAAATTTTGTAACTAATGAACGAACTGTTACGAATGTAATCAGTGTAAGGCTCACAAGTAATAATAAAAAATTGTTTGACATATTTAATGTTCAATGTGTGTTAAAGAAAGTGTGGTGGTATACATACCATAAAATCGGCTAAGCCATTTCAAAAACGGGTAAAGACTAGAACTTTGTTTAACAGGAAAGCGACAAAACATAAATCGATGTAGTCATTCAAAAATTTCTATTATTCAGCTAATCATTGAATTATATGTACTACGTACTAAAGAAGCTGTTCCAAACAATAAATGTGCGCTACTCTATGTCTTCGCGCATGCACAGAATAAAATAATAGTTGGCGCATACGCGGAAGGTAGTAGAGTTGCGCATGCGCAGTTCGATGCGAGCAGACGAAACGCGCATACATGCGTTTCGCCTGCGGGGTTACTTTTTGTCATCATAGATTAGGTATACGTAGGTAGAATGATCAGTAAGTAATAACTGTTTATTTAGATTGTATGATTAATTGTATCGAGTGCAATTTTTTAATTGTCATTTAACTTGTATATGTGCTAATTTAATATAAAATACTCTTATTTTAATCTAAACATATATATATTTGTAAATAAAATGTAATAATAATTATCTTTGATAATAAATGTATTTTTTTATATTTTACATAGTTATCTTTTAAAATATTCTAAAATAAATATTATTGAAATGTAATTGTGGCACAATAATAAGTTCGTTCGCCGTTCGTTAGTCGAGGCGGGTGTTGTGCCTTATGAATTACTTGTAAGGAAACATTGCAGGAAACTTTTAAAAAATTAATTGTTGTGCGTTTATTTCAGCTCAACAAATAAAATAAAATGGTATTGTATACAAGTACATGGGCCAAAATTCTTTTCTATGCCTAATTAGAGCAGAAGATTTTATAAAATAATAATAAATTCAAATTAATATTTTCTTATTTTTGAATGTTGATTTAGATTCGTAATAGTTTGATTTATAATAACGATATATCTGCAGCGATGATTTTGATGATTTAACTATATTTACGGCAATTTATACACTAAGCGGTCGAAAAGTTAAACAGCAGCGTTACTTTACTACATATTTAATATTTATTAATAAATTTCTACAATTAGTCCCACTAATATGGCAGTTTTAAACCTTCGAACTAATACTGATCTCTCATAAAGTTAAAATCACAAAAATAATTAGTTCCATAATTTTTTTTCAATTGTTTATATTACTGCGTTACCAAAGTCCTAATTAAAAACTTTAACTTTTCTAATAAAAACAAAATAAATACAAAATTTAATAGAAACTGGACACAGAGGCTTTAATTTATGATGAACAATAGTTACGTATTAAGTTAAGACATTTTTAACTAATCAGAAGCTTGTATATTACTGTAAATACTGTAAAAAAATTGGGGACAGGTAAGTAACGCAGTGGTAATCATAGTAACACAGTGGTATTTCACATACAATATTTTGGACAAACTTTCTAAGGAGATCTGGTTGATTAGAAAACAAAATATAAAATAAACTTTTATAACTTGACATAATATAAAATAACTCAAAAAATCTGGTATCATCAGCTAAATTAAAACTAAAAAAATAGTGTTCTCTCTCATAAACTAGTCTCTTTCAGTCAGTTGCACTGAAACAAATTAACAAACGTAAATCAATCTTAAAGAACAAATAAGGCACATTTTCTAATAAGTCTTATTTTTCAAAAACGTTCAGTGGCTTATCAAAATCATAGTACCCGTTTACTATCCAGTGTAATTTTTGGGTTAGGAACAATTTTCAACATATTATCGTAGGGTCGTAAGAACTATCAGTTTTTCGCCAGTACTATCTACAGTCTTATAAAACATAATCTTGACTTCTCCCTCTTCATCTACATCACTTTTAGCGACACCTAGGTAAGCATAATGTCTGTTTTTAACATTGGAAACTTTTACTAAAACATGAACTCCGTCTGATATTTTTAATTGATTAACATTATCCTTTTCAATTAGCTGCCTTAATTTTATGTTAGAAACTGATGGTTAGGCAAAGTTAGCAATAAGCTCGTTGTCAGAGCTGAAAGCTGAGGAATAAACCGTATTAAAGTAAGTTCTTTTAGATACGGCAACAATATTAGATTGTTAGATAGGGTTTCTTCGTCGTTCAATCTATTCGAATAATTGGTCTTTCTGATTGTGTCAATGACGGGAACAGCAACTGGTTGATATGTTTTTTGAATCATGCAAGTGCAATACTCTCTTTGGTGAAATCAACTACTGTCTGTTTTTGTTTCACCTGATCAATGCCCAAAGCCTCACACACAATATCAGTCTTCATTTTTGAGTTTGAAATGAATTTTCCTTCAAAAAATTCGTTTCAAGGCTACCTTTTCTTTTACTGTCTTTAAGCTCTTGTAATGATCTTTGATGGCATTGGATAAGGTAGAATATTTCTTATGTTGAGAACCATTGCTTGACTTTTTAGCTCTTTGGCATCTTTTTTTTGTATTTACTACACTTTCTTGTCAGTTCTTCCAGGCATTCCTGGAATTTTAGATTTTTTTCTTTATAATGCAGATTTGTCTCGTCGTATTTGTCTTCAAACTCTAGACCTAGGTCAAACTAGAGTTCCCGAACGCGGGGTGAAAGTCGAACATTACGTCCGTAATTTGTTGAGCAACTTTTTGACGTTCTCATCGTTTCTTATCCGCAGGCTTTCATTTACGCTTGGCAGCTCTATGTTCTCGCTCTGTTATATCTTTTACTAGTGTTTTTTCGTATGGTACCTCTCAAGCCTTTTTTATTTGGCTTCAGCATTTTTTGAGCTCCTGCTTTAACCTAAGCCTATGCGACGTTACTTTTCAGCGTGTGTCAAAGCCATTTAGTGTAAAAGTTACTTCCTGAAATAAAAAGAAGTTAATTATTGGTATTTTAGTTATAACAATGTATAACTAGCCTAAAAAAATACACTTAAAACAACTGCGTTACTTTTTACAGTATCGAAGTGTAGCAGTAACGCAGTTGTAAATATTTGATTACATGTTAATGTGCACTTAATGGAAAAACAAAATGCAGACATTTAGTCACTGTCATAACCGATACCTAATTAATTATGTTTGAGTTTAGTAATAATGCAAATATCGTCAGTACTTACTATTCGACGGCGGTAACTCAGCGGCCACGCAATAAACACACGCACCTCTCCCAACAACTGTGAAGCGATTGATTCGGTTAGCGTGGTCCCCCCGCGCAGCGGCTATCATTTATTTTAAGAGTTACAATAAGTCGAAGAAAATATAGTACATTAAATTTTAATACACTTACTTTAAGGTTTGTTTTCATATAGCCACGCAAGGTAGCTAAGATTTTATTTATCGTTGGGGACACAGTGCAAAGTATTTTTTATTTTATTACACGTTTTAGGTAAAAAATATCTATTATAATGGTAATAAGGTCCAAAGCGTATATTTTTGATAATGACATTCAGAAAAAATGCCATCTAGAAGATATTATGAGAGATTGCTCTTTACATCATGAGACTGGTGCTTAAAGACAGTAATATTTTGTATGAAGAACAACTGCGTTACTAAGAAAGACAACGTTGTTACCGTAATTTGCAAATAAATAATATAAATTTTGATTATAACTTATTTTGTTAAGTATAGAATTAGTGTTAAATTTATGAATTGATGAACTTACAGTTTGTTTTAGTACTGTTTTCCCATAAAAAGTGAAATTCACCCGAAGGGACCGGTTTTTAGGCATCAAAAAGTATTTTGGCCCACATACACGTATACATATACATTTTTTACCTACATTCGGTTTTGTAATGGAACATCTGCATGTTTTAATCTATGATTGTAGATAGCGTGGCATTTGAATGAAGAAATTTATTTTTTCTATTGTATTATGATATTATTACCTATTTATTCACTTGAACAACAAATAATTTTATTTACTTGACTAATGAATTGTTATTTACGTCCAGGTTTTTACTTAATCGAATCAAATTAACCGTATTTCACTTGAATTTTTTATTTTACTGGAAACGAGGCATCTTAGTCACAAGAGATGACAACGCATCTCCATTATGATTTTTAAATAAGGATAGACGTAGATGTCTATAGACAACAGCATCCAGTCTCCATCAGGTGTATACTGTCACCTTTACACTATAAAAAATTTAAAGGAAAAAAGGAGACTTACCGAATTTGCATTTAATATTTAAGTTGATAATAAATACCTGGTTACTGCACTGTGCCTGAACATGCGCCAACTTGACTTGCGCGAGTTCCAGTTCCAAGTCCCGAACACGCTGCCGAAGTCGTGCTTCCGTGTCACTCGAGCCCTCTTCTTTTTCCTCGCCCTTTTTCTCGCACTCTAAGAATTGAATGTTTTAAATAAGTTCCTCAAGTTTAAACACACGAACACACACGCACGCAAGCACGTACGCACGCACGCTCATACTCACACACACACACACACACACACACACACACACACACACACGCACGCACGCACGCACGCACGCACGCACGCACGCACGCACGCACGCACGCACGCACGCACGCACGCACGCACGCACGCACGCACGCACGCAAGCGAAGCATGCACGAACGCACGCACGCACGCACGCACGCACACAAGCACGCATACAAGCACGCACGCACGCAGGCACGCACGCACGCATGGCCATAATATGTAGCCTGTACTAATAGAAATAAAGAAAATTATTACGACCTGTCGCACTTCACATCCATTAAACTGTTCGTTGATATCCGTTCAGGTGGCACAAACAAACTGACACACACTAGAAAACTATAGTCCTCCTGGGTGAGTAAGGTAACAACTATGTACGGATCATTATGAGATTGTATTACTAAGTAACTTGTTACTCAATCTATATAATGAGTATTGAGTAACGTCTGATTTTATTTACCATTAATACGCACACAGATGGGGCACAATGTAGATGACACAACCAAAATAGCCGAAAACTAGTTAGATTCGCTATAAATTTATTACAACAAATAGTTTCGCTTTGTACAGTTTAGTTGCTAATGAAAAGTTCGAAAATTGTCTAAGGTAATTGGGTAAACCTACCTTCTTTATTATCTTTCTGCGCGAGTTTAATGCTGCAATTAACGCAGTTTTTGGCATATTCCTGTAAAACGATGATATTTTGATTAGAATTTTAAATAAACTAAGCTACTACCTATACCAGCTAGCTAACTAAGAAATTCAGCCATAAAAATAAAAATCACTAAATTTTTCTTTTTCTTTTGGATACTGGATTCATATTAAAAAAAAATTATGTAAATTTATCAGTTAACCGCTCTGCTTGCACAAGTATACTATACTTGTTCAAGTTGAATTATTAATATTCCAAGGAGAACAAGATCATGTTTGTTCACAAATCTGCGATTTATATGCTAAAGCTTACTTATCGAACCTGGTATATATATGGTGGAAACCGCATAAGTTCTGTATGCCGATTTAGAGTTATATTATGTAAAGTAATTAAGATTATAATGTTATATATACACATGATACTAGTAAAATAGAAATATATAGTAGATATTAAAAGTTATTTTATCTTAAAAAAATGTTACCTCCACACTAGAATTTTTTTTGTACCGTTTACATACATAAATTGCACAAGAACAAACATCCAGACCCAGAACAATTATTTGTAGGTCATACAAATGTTTGTTCGGTGCGGGTTTTGGAGGGAAACAATTCAGGAGATGAGCATCAGTGTCTTCTTCATAACGACTTAGAATAAATAAAAAACTGCCATTGCCAAACCGTTGCCAAGCGTGGCAACTATAGCAAATATCTTCCCTATGAGGCAATCTATTGGGGAGGCCTATGTTCAGCAGTGGAAAATGAAATACCCCCTGAATGACCCCTCTTTTTAGCAATGAGAAAGAAGAAGGTTCATGATTGGACATGGAACAGGATATTGTGATACATTAATTCTTAGTCTACAAATTACCTGCATTTGATGTACTTGCTTATCTAACCGGGCACAGATCTCGCGGTAGTCGCGCGCCACGGCCGCGTAGTGCACGGCCTCCTTTTGGGCTTCTTCTAAAGCGGTACGCGTCTGCAACGTACATTACATTCGATTCTATTTCCAACTACCCTAGAGAAGACTGCGGGTCCGGATCACTTTAACGACCGAGCATTTGTGTACGTAGGACATCAAATAATTATTATTTCTAGGTTAAAGACGTTATTTATATTAATTGATTATTGCCTACTTAAATAAAGTATTATTTAAATACATTGAAACCTGGATAACTGGGACCTTAAGGGACCTGAAAATTTGTCTCACTTAAAGAGGTATTCCACTTACCCAGTGTCTCAGATATCCAGGTATAAATAAATATCTGTCTCATTTACAGAGGGTTCCATTTAATAGAGGTGAGAATAGAGGTTATTTCAGTTATAGAGGGGCGATTATTAAATAATATAACGTATTTTGTAAACATTATACATGAGTTGTAATCTATATTAACGATTGTTAATATAGGTTACAACTCGAATAAAAGCTATTATACAAAAATATTTTTTTATAAACAATACAAAAATGCATACAAAATGCGTCAATAAAAAATATCTGTTATTTTAGTTTGTCTTTTCGAAGTATCAGCTGTAAGATGTTTTTCAGTGTTATGAATTAAGATCGGGCATATTATTTTGAGCTGTACAATTGTCAACAAACATCAAAATTTTTCTTTTCTGGGACTTCATTACTTGATTCAAATTCTTCATCGAATCGGCAAAAATAGTAGACGTCATGCAAGCTTTTTCATTATTTTGGTAATTCACTGGAGGTCACTTTAACACAATTCGCCAAATGCGGAATTTGCGGGTAGAATAAGAATTTGTAAACAAAATATAGTCTTAGTAAAATAGGTAAAATATACTCGCTGTGTTAATTATAGAGGTAATTATGAAGATAAAATCGAAAGAACTAATCACAGATATAGAGGTTTTGTTTTGTCCCACTAATAGAGGTAATTCAGTGCTAAAGTGTCGGGACCTGAGCATGAGTTCCAGCTATGGAGGTTTCTCACTTATCCAGGTCCCACTTAACCAAGTTTTACTGTATATACCTGTCTTTTTGTATTGTCATTTGGGAAGGGAGAGAGAGAGCAACTTTTGTCATAATATATATTGATGTAGACTTTTATGTGTAAGACCGTTAGTGTTTGTTTATGTTAATTTTATACATTTAAAACGCTTCCATGATACACCAGGCATTTAATCTCCGACAATATTTCTCCGACGGCGTAAGAGGATCCATCATCCCATTTCGTCTAGTCGGTGTTGTAAGAGAGGTCTATGGGAAAGACCGGAAGGACCTCATGCCCTCTGATATATGGCAATATAACATATCTTATTTGTCAAGCATATCATATCATCTGGCTGAGAAAGCAAAACAGTTTTTGATTATTCTTTATAACAAATTTAATTATTAACAATGTACATTAGTAAAAACAGGTTTTTCCAGTCCCTATAATTAATCGAAATGTCAAGTTAGCTAAACTACATTGCAACATCGATATGGCACTATTCGAGTAGTTTTACTATTTATCGGTAGATGTAGATAGTGTAAATTGGGCGGGGCTTAACATCCCCTTACCCTGCAAGTTATCATGCGTTGTTACAAAGTGAAATCTAATTACAACACCTCCTAATTGTATTTGCTTCATGGTTTTAACACTCACAATACAGTTATATCAGTAGATGTGTCATTACACGAGCGTAGGAAAAATGCAACGTTGATACACATTCAAGCCAATATCAAAACACAATAAAATGGAGTCCTCGAGTAGGCGTATTGTCGCGGCTCTCTTTTGTAGCAGCATGGGCATAAGTTATTTTTTACAAATTTGGCAACGCCGCATACGTTATTTCCTTCTAATGCGTGTAAATGGTATTTTTTCTCTCTCGCTTCAATTTTATTATAATACATTTTATTATCCATGACACCGTCAATCGACATTTTGTTTGCGAGGTTGTTTCGAAATTATTCATTGGTAAAGTATTAATAGTTGTACAAAAATGTTTCTTTAGGAGATTAAGAGAGATAACTCTCTAAATATATAAGAAATGTGTATGAAAGTTATGTGGAATATCTGAAAATGCAATACTAAATATGTCTTTTCATTTTAATGTTGTACATGGAGCAACACGTTATTTTTATTTTAAGTTACCTGCGCTAATTGTGTTTCAAGTGCTTCTTTTTCTTGTTGAAGTTGTGCGCTGCTGACTTTAAGGCGCTCAAGCTCCACATTTATTTTCTCCTTCTCAGCCGATTCTAAAAAAGGAGAAAGTTATTAAGTTATTGCAGCATTAAAAAGACCAGAAGTAAAGAAAGATCTCCCCCAGTGTATACAACACAGCAGTTTCGTACTAACCCAGATGGATTCGTAGGCAGAAAAGGACTACCTCGTGAAATTAAAAGATTTTGTTCCACTTCGAATCCGATAGGTGGCACTGTAGTCAAGATAGTGAATTCAGAGCAAGGCGGCCCATATATCTATAATACGATTGCGCAATATTAATATTTTATAACTTTATTGGCACATACCTGGCGCCTAAACATTCAATAATTATTATGACAATAAAATTACCCAGCCAATCGTGTCAATATTTCCGTGCGAGTAAAAATATCAGACGGCGAAGATATCACTGCTGAAAAATATTGCACAATATTGAGTAATGAAAATATATTGGGAAGTAAAATGTCACTGAAACTTGTATCAAATAATTGCGCCAATCATAAATATTATTTCAATACTACCCCCACACTTTCAATAGTATTGTGAAATCATCGATATTGTACAATTATATTGTAGGTGTATGGGCCTCATCGCTACACTTATCGGAAAGGGCTGAATGTCGTCTGCCGGGGTAGCTACTAATGTCTAGCTATTTGCGCAGGACAAAATTAAGCCGTGTATCAACTACGAGCTCCTGGTGCGCGCGCCAAGAAGGACCGCTCCGACCAGTGCGCTCCAAACGTTCGAAGTGTATCAACTAACCGCGCCAGGCGCCTGGCGCGCGCGGTAGCCGCTCCAATGTTTGACCATTCAACATGGATATCGGTCGTATACGAGCAGCTGCCGCTTTCATAGTTCTCTCCATGCATCCCCTCTGACCGCTTTATTATGACAAAAGTAGTAAAATTTAAAAATGTTGTACAACCGACTTCGCATAATTGATACGCGGCTTTATAGTGTCCGAATGCATGCGCAAGCGCAAGTGCACTCTCTATTCCCCCACTCTCATATTTCGATGGAACGAGACATTCTGGTCAGATAGTGTAACGTATGTAATGATAAGAAGATAAATACCCTTGATAAACTTCTCATACTCCAGTTGGTACTTGTGCAATCGTTTTACTTTGATGCTGCAAGCGAGCTTCACTAATTGTCGAGAGGACTCCTCCGCGCGGCACTTCTTCGGTAGAGTTACCCTGACAAAACAAATAAGTAGTATAGCATAATATTTCGATTACTCAATTCGTATTATAAACACTAGCAAGTAGAAACATGTGATTTTTTTTTTGTTTGGTTACAATTTTCATAGCGGTGGCAAATAGGGATAGTAATCAAGCACTGGCTTGTAATAGTTAAAAAAAACGTATTATCTGGCCTTCCTAGTATATTTAGACTTAGGCGTATATTAAACATTAATATAATATCCTAATTTCATATAAAAAATTATAACGACTTGTAAAGTACGCCAACTCGAAAGGAAGTATCATGGCGGACGTTTTAGTTCCATTAATTGGGAGGTATGACCTTTGTAGTGAAACCTCTGGAGGCTACTTTAGTAATTATTTTGCCAAATTATTTTTATAAATAAAATTATACAATTATTTACACAAACTACAAACCTACCTAAAGTATTTGAGAACGCCTTCAAAGTCGTGTTGCAGCAAATCCTTTCGCGATTTTGACAACAACGCCAGTGCAACTTGGAACAGCGTGTCCATGCCTTGTAAAAGGAAAACATCCAGGATATGGTAGACCTAGAAAAAAGCATGTTCTTATAAGAATACAATAGATCAGACACACAAAATGACAAAATAAGTCTAACACGTGGTAGAGCCATGCTGTAGCTATATTAGTAGTATAGTTGTAGCACGGATGGGTCGGGTCGACCGAGGAAGGACCACGCTCTCACAGAATACCAGCGTAAAATAGCAGCTTAACACTACTATGTTTCGTACGGTGAGTGGAACCGTGAACCGGAGACCCTTTTTACTGGAAACGAGGTATTCCATCTTAGTCTTCACGGGTGACGACGCATCTGCATTTTGATTTGTAATCGAGGATATATGTAGATATCTATGGGCTGCAGCAACCACTTACCATCAGGTGGACTGTGTGCTCGTTTGTCGCTCTTATCTTATAAAAAAAAAAAACACTTTCACTGTCCAATTTTTAGACACAATAGTAAGACAATAGCAATGAACTATATGTAGTAGTATGGGACAACCCAAGTGTTAGTTAAATTTATAGCCTAGGTACATTCTATCGCTAGTTTTCGAAGACTTCACATGTTTTCGAAATCTTTAATTATTTTTCAGGTTAGACATAAAAATTAGAAGATTAGATTTTCTTGTTATTATAAATTCTAAAGTCTACATGAACGAAGTAAACTGCATATTAACATACTAGTGGCAGTGGAAACCTTGCAGTGAACACGGTCAGGAACCATTGTGATGCGAACATGTGAGGTTCCACGCCCAGCTCTTGGAAGTGAGCTCGTAAATCGTTCAGTTGCTCCTGCAAAGGAAACAATACATAAATATTAACAACATCACATTTCGTAAGAGAATCAAACATCACAACTGTTGGGTGTCGCAAGAGTCAAAAGCGAAATTTCAGTCTTATGAACACCGTCTAGTGGCAAATCATGATGATTATTAGATTCACCTATTAGATTTATCGACACGCTAAAAACGTGCACGTATCCTTTACGAGCAGTTTAAGTAAATCTTACTAATATTAATAAATATTATATTTAATTTCTTAGTGTTTAATATATTTTATTTTACTTATAAATAAAATATTTATACAATAAATTTATAATAATTATCATTATTGAAAAACAACTATACTTAATAATTGAAAATTCTCAGCATGCAACTTAATACCCTCCTGTCATTTTCTAATTGGGTAATGAAAAAATATAATTTACCTCCATTAATCTGTCCAGTTGATGTAGCCTCATGTAGAGTGCTTCAAATCCGTCTTTGTACAGCTCTCGTAAACCGTAACCGTACATCAAACGCACGAGTAAACAAAATGCTTGCTCCTCCGGCATCTGTGATTGTTATAAACATTGTCAATTTCAGAGGCCAATGGACAACCTTAATAGAACTCATATAACATGATACACATAGGTGCTTTATTAGCATTGAGAACTAAAATATAACATCTCATAACAACAATAACAACGGATGCACTTTTGCCTTCACGGTAGAAATAGCGAGAAGATGGAAGCTAACCAAACAGACCCCAGACAGAAGAGTAGCCTACGTACAATCTAGTTATTGGTGCATACATCTGAGAAAATGTATTTAACCTTTTGACCGCTTGTGTCGCTTTTATGCGACACATATTTCCGTGTCCCTACCGCTCGTGTCGTATTTCTGCGACAGAGGACATGCATGATTTTTTCGTTCTATTTTCGTCCTATTAACTGCGTGGTACAACTAAAACCATTATTAAATAGAGATATTATTCGCAACAATTACTTAAAATTATGTCTCGTAACTCAATACTTATTTAAAAAGCAACAAATATAAGTAATTGACAGTTTGAACTTTTCTTCGGTGTCTATCGCGCGCGTCGCATAACTATGACCATAGGGATGGGATACAATGCAATGCGCATTTTAAAAACGAAATAACAAACAGCTAAGTAATCAAGTACAATGCATCATTCAGCATAAAATAAACAATGTCATACGAAATAAAGTTTATTTAACATATGAGGTAGCTAGTGTTATTATTTTGCTTATTATTCATAAGAAAAATATCCATCGGGCTCTTTGTGTAATGACAACATTTGACGTTAGTTCCCATCCCTAGATGCCTATGTTTGCAACACAATTTCTCTAGTTAGCTAGCGCGGCTGTCGCATTAATACGACCACTGCCTACGTCACAAGCGGATCAAACGAATGGAAATTTCCATTAATGTTGTTAGTGGGTATTTGTGCATTGTCGATAAAATAGTCACATTTCAATAGTGACGACTACTGAGGAATTAATAAGAATATTAGAAGGTGACGACGAAGCGGAATTATTCGAATCTGTCGAAGACGACGACGGCTCCGTGTCGCAGTGGCTTAGCAATGAGTTGTTGCACTGGGGGGTCACGGGTTCGAATCCCGCACGGAACAAGTATTTGTATGGCCTACAAATAATTGTTCCGGGTCTGGATGTTTGTCCTCGTGCAATATATGTTTGTAAACTGCCTCCACGATACAGGAGAAAATCCTAGCGTGGGGGTAATTTTTAAAAAGAAAGAAAAAAGAAAGCGAAAGTGATGGTGAGGCAAGTACCTATTTCGATTACTTCTTATGTTAATTGCACATTATTCAGTAGGTATAGGTCAATATAAATAAGACTTCCGTTGGGTTTAGGTATCTCCTTGATGAATCGACACAGTTTTTTTTTTTATTGTGTTGTAATTCTGTTATAATATTACTTATCTACATATATCCTATTGATTGTTCAAATTTGAAACCATGTTGTATGTTGTCCTTACCATTAAAAAGGTACTGTGACAGTACCTACCAAGTGACAGGCGCTCGCGTGCAAAAGTACAGTCGTGAATTGCAACAACTATACCTATTTATTATAAATGCGTAAATCATTGCATTTGAACTAATAGATACTAAGGAATAAGTGTAAATGAATGAGAATTAATAACTGATTAGCAAAAAAAAATTGTGATTCAAAGATTTATTCTAGTTTTATTTATAAGAAAAGCAAAAAAAATAACTAGTCGATTAATAAGAGATTATTCCGATATAATTTTGATTTAAGGCTGATTTAAAATAAAAAAATAAAATAAAAAACTTTGACTATTTTTAATCGATACAACGATTGCTCCTCCTTATTTCTTGTAGGTATTATTTTGTCGATTTGTAGCCACGCGCTAGGGGCATGTAGCCAAGCACAATCCACGCGCTTAAAAGGTTAATTAACTATGTAGTGGCGATAAGGACTAATACTCTTTAGTAATTAAATTTTTAGGACATCTAAAAATTCACTAGAATTAAAAAACATATCTACACAAATCGTACAATATATTGAAATTAGATTTAAAGATTTCTTTGAGTATTAACAATAATTATCATTAGTAGTATCATACTCAAAGATTATAATATCATAAACACAAAAACCATTACTATTTACTACTTTATACTACTACTACGACAGCCTACCACAAGTCAATTGCTGAAAGCCCCCATGGATTGTCACAAAGTAAGGTCCTGAGCCACCTGCACCCATCGGCTGCCTGTGTGTTTTATCAGGTCGTCACCCCATCTAGTGGAAATTGTCCAACACTGCGTTTGCCAACGCGAGGCTGCCACTCGAGAACCTTTCTTAACCAACGGTTGTCGTTTGTTCGAGCTATTTGGCCGGCCTATTGCCATTTCAGCTTACTGATCCGCTGGACAGTGTCAGTTACTCTTGTTCCACCGTTATCCTTGTTATGAGTACTTAAACCCTCTAGAGAAATTTCTAACATAGCCTTTTTCATCGCATGCTGAGTGATTTTGAGCTTCCTCTTACGGCCAGCAATGAAGGACCATGTGCAGTTCCGTAAATCATCACTAGCAACACCCACCGTGTAGTGGCGGTGCAAGAATATCGACAACCTCTTATCATCCCTTGGGTGTCATAAGAGGCGACATAGGGAACTGACGAAGGCGATGGGCAGCAACATCTTGATAACAGCTTGTGAAAATGAAGAAACTGCGTTTGTTAACCCGCTTGCCAAGTTTGGCAACTATGGAATATATTATGTACCCTGTATGAAAGCTACAAAAGCAACTTCTTTATATTATATTATAATAGTAACATAATAAAGGACTATGAAATGCGTCCGTGTTATAGTTGGCCTAAGGAAGTACATTGTAACCATGGTGATTGAGATACAATATTGAAATAATTCAGTTACTTTTTTTTTAAGAATAAGAACTAATCATTATTAAAGTATTAAAAGTAGTTTAAAAGTGTTTACATTGTTTCCCAAAAATTAAAAAAAAATCATACATAAATTCAAAAAGGTTTGGCATTCCTGATTTTAAGTAAAATATTTCAAGTTACGTGTAAGAGCAGCGTGGCGGCCAGGAAGCTGAGTCCCTGGCAGTAGCCGACCTCGTGGTCGTAGACCGCGTATGCGCGCGCCATGCGCAGCAGCGAGTCCTGGCCGAGCCCGCCCGCCTCGCGGAAGAAGTCGTGCGCGGGGAACGTGCGCGCGATGTCGCGCTGGATCACCGCCTCGAACGGGCACTCCTGCGCAACAAGCCACTGCAACTCACCTCACACTCACACATACCTCGCCAGAAAGTGCTAAAGCATGATCCTGAACCACCTACATCCTATACTTCATCAGCTCGGCTCTACATTTAGTGAGGAGGAAGGGGTTCATCCTACAACTTGCTTGTTATAACTTTTTTTTGTACTTTTGCAACCAAAACAAAGTTTTATATAAAGAACTATTTCTTTTTTTCTGTCCATGAATGATTTTTTTTGTGCTTCACTGAGCTATTATTTGCATTTCATGCCAATCTGAAGACGATTACGCGTGCATCATAGTTTGCACGAATGACATGGAAACTACGTGCAATGCGAATGCAGGCGGTTTATTTGTCAATAAACTGCCTGCATTTGCATTTATCACTACAATTAAACGATCATGCATGCATGACATCATTTAGAGTACACCTAGGGCTCACCTTACATATGGGTGGATAATACTCTATCAATATAATTTACGTCATTATAGTTTATGTTAGCATTATAAACTAATATTTTGATAAAAATTCATACGTTTTAATCAATTTTTATTTACTGTGGAATTTTATGAAGTAGTAAAAAGTATTCGACAGTTGTTCGATACTAGAGATGTACTAACAAAAAAAGTGGTAAAATTAAAAATTTTGTACAACCGATCGCAACATAAATAAAATGCGATTCGAATCGTCGGCGACCGAGCTCGTTCTGATCGGCTTGAATCACTGGCGTTGCGAAGAGATGTTGCATCGTTTTGCGTATTCTACCGTATCTACCACGGGAAGTGCTCAGAGGAATTATTCGGACTAGTTCCAGCCGCTCAATTTCACCATTGCACATCAGAACTCGAACTACCATCCGTACCATCTGGATGATTGGCGGTCCACTACTGTGGGATTTAGAAGAAGTTTTCTTCCTCGCACAACTTCCTTGTAGAATCGAATATCATCAGCCATTTTTCCGGACCGATACGACTTGTCTTCTCTACTTCTTGTCTTGACTACGACAACCTTCAAAAAAAGCAATTCCACTGGTGTAGCAGTTGTTCATGGGCGGCGATAGTCACTTACCATTAGGTGAGCCGGATGCTCGTTTACCCTCTCATATAAAAAAAAGAAAAACAAGCATTGCTATTTGGACCGGATTTTGGACCCAGACAGACTCCTATGCAGAAAAGGATTCTACCATCTAGTAAATAATATGATATTATTTTTGATTTTAGTATTTATGATTACTGCTTTTGGTATTTATGTGAGTACATTAAATAGAACGAAGAGGAAGTAAATTAGAGGGCTCACCTTGCTGATGAGCGTCCTGTACGTCTCCATGAGCTTGTCGTTCTGGTCGACGCCGGCCAGGCGCAGCCACACCTCGCCGCGCAGCGCCTCGGGTACGCCCACGCGCACCAGCTGGCCCAGAGCACGCGGCCTTGGACCGATCCAACTGCAAACAACAACTTTACTAACACGACTAATTCTTTATATTCTTTTCTAATTTCGAATCCTTTTCCAATGTCAAATAATCAAAAACTAACCAGTCATAACACAAAACAATTCAAAAACACGCATATAATATAATATGCTCGGGTCTAATCTAGTCCGACTAAATTCTTTTTAGAAAGATGTTTGTATGTTTGTATTTTCGTCTCGTATTTCGAAAGTAAATGATATTATTAACTCCTTGTCAATTTCATTTGTAGGTAAAAATATTTATTAAATTAAACTTTTTTTTTATATAATGTATAATTCGAGTTAGCAAAAAGTAACTAAATGGTTTTTTATAGTAATGTAAACAAAATATAATTATAAGAAGTAAAGACCTTTTATACTACACTATAAATTCGAATCCTAGACTGCGTTCTAATTTTTTTAAGGTACTAAAAGAGATAAAGGTGACAAATATATTGTATACCTTCTGAGTACTTGTGCCCAGTTCTCCAGCACATCGACTCCACAATCTTTCGAAACTTCACCCGTCCCACTCAGTAGTGGTTCGTCACCATCTGCAAAAATTACACTATAATTCACATTTAAATTCTTTAAAAAATTAGTTTTCTTTAAATTATCATAGCAAACATATTTTTATTAAATTTTGTCTCTTTAACTTGAATAATTTATTTCATTAATTATGAATATATATTTTTTATAGGATAAGGGTGACAAGCGAATACAAATAGCAGTTCGTCTTTTAGCATTCGGTTACCATTACAGCCTTTTAAAGTCCATTGTTTAACATAGGCCCCCCCATAGACTGCCTCATACGGGGATATTTACCATAATTGGCACGCTTGGCAAGCGCGTTGACAAAAATATTAGGAAGACGCTGCTGCCCATCTCCTGATTTGTTTCCCTCTGTCGCCTCTTACGACACCCACGGGATGATATGGGGTAGTGGATATTCTTACACCGCCACTACATGGTAAATCGCATGTCTCTTTGTTTTATTCAATATTCTGAACATAGTAATATATGCGTTAGAATATGCCTTACACAGGTGATAGCTTAGAACATCATTTAGTTGTCGTCTCTAAATCTGGCAGGAGATTTACCATTATTATTGAACATGTAACTCAAACTTTAGCTGTTCTTCAATTTCCTTATTATATAAAATATTACAATAATATGACGTTCTGGTAAATTAAATACCTGAATCTGGTTCCGAAGGTGATGGCGGTGCTGGAGCATTGGACAGCGGTGACGGTAGCAAGCTGGATAGTGACAATGGTAGGTTTAGACGGGATCTATCCAATTCTCCAGAGGTTTCAACGCTGGCAACCTCATATTGCAGCTGACCAAGTGCGTCTAATGACTGAAATATAAATTCATATTAGCTATCAAAAGAGCATTATTTCTTTATTTTGTGTGGTGTATGGTGTATGAAATGGATGTATTTAATGAAGTACAATCATAAATTTTTCAAAATTACCTCTTTAAGGTTGATGTAAAACTGTTGCACGAGTGGCCGCTTAGAGTAATACCAAAATCTTTCGGTAGGTGGATAAACTTTCACTGGAGTTTCGATCACCAATCTGTAATGTTAAATAAATACCATAAAATGCAAGACACCTACTAGGTCCATACTTAAAAGTAAAAGAATAACAATTATTTATAATGACATTTAAATACTACAGAAACATAACTAGTGTAATTTGACAGCTCGGTGGCGCAATTGCGGCTTTGAAGATCACGGGTTCGAATTCCGCACGGAAAAAGAATTTGTATGACCTGCAAATAATTGTTCCAGATTTGTATGTTTGTCTTTGTGCAATTTATGTATGTAGATTACTCCCACGATACAGGAGAAAATCCTAGTTTTGAAATTCAAGATCAAAATATGTGCTGTCCATAGCATACCATTATCATCATCGTTACAGTCTATCAGAAGTTCACTGCTTAACATAGGCCTCCCCTATAGATTGCCTCATAAGTCCCAATAGCCTTAAACGCGATAGAAATCGAAGCTACTGTTAGTCAGTCACATTTTTTATAGGATAGGGTGACAAACGAGCACACAGTCCACCTGATGGTAAGTGGTTGCTGTGACCCATACCTCAATAAAGAATCTAAAATGCAGATGTGTCGTCACCCGTGAGGACTAAGATGGAATGCCTCTTTTTCAGTAAAATGGGTCTCCGATACTCTACACTCACCATACGAAACAACAGCAGCGTCAATTTACGCTGGTATTCTGTGAGAGCGTGGTCTTTCCCCGGTCGAGCCGACCCATTCGTGCTACAACTATACTACTAATATAGCTGCAGCATGGCTTTACCACGTATACTCACACATCCTGGGAATACAAACCTGAGCGGGTCACGGATGCCTCTGATGACTAGGTCAAGTGCAAGCGACATGTAGGCCGGCGCGCCGTCACCACTCGCGACGTTGAAAGCTGCCAAAGCGGACTCTCCAGCATTCCATAGCGCACACACAGAACAACCAGATCCGCCCGAAGCACCGCTTACCTAAAAACAAATGAAAGTTTTCATTACATCGTAAATAATATAAAAAAAAATCATAAAAAAGAAGGTCAATCACACACCATTTCGAGCAACCTCATATCAGAATGTTTCACACTGCGACCGGGAGCGAGGAGAATGCCAAAACAACGCTCTATGTATAGCCCACCGGTGTATGATACCTGTAAAGAATAATATTTAAATTAAATATTATTGTTAAAAGACTTTCCTTTACCAGTTCGCCTCACTATAAACTATAAATAACTTTAACTTTATTATATTTTTAATATATTCCAATTTTGTTTAGACAGAAATTCTGAGGATCACGGAAACAAAATCCTTAACTATAGTTTTTAATAATCTTCAAATTAACAATTTCACTCTCCTGTGACCCACATATGGGTCACTGTTATTGTCTTACTGTTGTGCCTGGAAACCGGACAGTGAAAGTGTTAAGATATATACATAATGGCTTCCTTAAGGAATAGTCACAGATGGAAATAAGTAATAAGTCATCACAAAGACAGAAAGTTTTTTTTTTTGATTACCTTGATAGTAGACTAGTGACTAAAGTCATAGATGAAACTGGAGGGATATTCAATTTTAAGTAAATCCATTATGTAACTGTTCAAAGTATATGGTAATTACCTCTTTCGATTCTAGTAAAGAGGACATATACAGGAAATCTAAATTTTTGTAAGCTGAATAATTAAAAAAAATACCATTTATTAAATCCTTTAAATTGTCAACAATCCAAGTTAGTTAAACATAATAAATTAAACTAAATAATTCGTTTGATTAAAACAGACCTGAGAGTCATCCATCTCGGCCTGTACATTGTTAGTGACCTGCTGCACATTGATGGTGACCTGCTTGTCGATGCCGCCACGTAATTTGAAACCCAGCCGTTCCTTCGGCACGTGGCTGTATGTACCCTGTAATAAGAAATAACAGTAGAAGAGAAATTATTCCAAAGGAAAATCATTTTAATAAATTTCATTTTTCAAATTTAAATTCAATTTCAAATTCAAATTTCAAATAAAAGTTAGTGTAAACACAGACAATAAAAATAATTTACACGTGGTAGAGCCATGCTGCAGCTATATTAGTAGTATAGTTGTAGCACGAATGGGTCGGCTCGACCGGGGAAGGACCACGCTCTCACGGAATACCAGCGTAAAATAGCAGCTTAATGCTGCTGTGTTTCGTATGGTGAGTATAGAGAACCGGAGACCCATTTTACTGGAAAAGAGGCATTCCATCTTAGTCGTCACGGGTGACGACGCATCTGCATTTTGATTCTTTATTGAGGATAGATGTAGATGTCTATGGGTCACAGTAACCACTTACCATCAGGTGGACTGTGTGCTCGTTTGTCACCCTATCCTATAAAAAATGCGTTAATTTTCTATTACTTGTTGTTGCTGCTAATTTGTAGCTGAGTAAACAAAATGCATCAGCATCCTGCTGCTGATTTACGCTGAGATCGTGTTTCCTCTGTGGTTGTGTCGACCAATTTACGTGCAAACAATTCCAAAACGTATATATTAAACAAGGTGAATTTAATACGTCCGTTATTTTCTTTCGAGCTGAAGTTGCAGTTCGACAGTAAAATAATGTTTGTTTAATGATATTATACCACATTGCACACATCACAGCATGCAAACTTGACACACGATGTGAGTACATGATAAAGATTTACCTTAGCGTCAGTCTCCTTGATATCCAACGTGCACTCCAATACATGCATCAGCTGCATAGGCGGCGCAGCGGGCCCGATGCCCTCCGTCAGAGAACCTGTCATTGACGGTGCCGCGCTCAAATCACCCACCAGCGAGGACGCCATCGAACGTGGTATGCGCTCAAATGCCTTCGCGAAGCAGCCTGCGAACGGAATATAAAAATTATAGTAAACTGATAGCATTTGAATAAAAATAACAAACAGCGCTTGCCAACCCGCTTGCCTGATATGCTGATGAAGCTGATAGCTTGGCAATTATAGCAAATATCTTTCTTTCCTATTGGCAAATCTATGGGGAAGGCCTATGTGTTCAGTAGTTGACTTTTTACAGGCTGTAGATAAATAAAATGAAATTTTCCCGGAAGATACTCTCAAAAACAGAGGCCCAGGTTCAGCAGTGACCTTTTTACTAGAGTGATAGTGATTTAGAATTTATCTGTTTTAGTGTAATATTCTAAAAATTTTGCAAAAAGTTATCTCAGATGTAACAAGGTAAAATTTTAGTGAATAACCTATTTAATATAAATAGGTTATTCACTAAAATTTTGTTTATGGAATACAAGGTGTATTCCTTAATTGTATTTAATCTTGATTTCGGTTTTACAATTATTACCTCTACAATTTTAATAGGAAAATTAAGTATTACGAACATAAAACTTAAAAAACACTAACAATTTAACAAATAACCGATTTTTTTATTTGATTAATAACTCAATGGTAAAAAATAAAATAGGTTGATGTAAATGTAAATGCATCACTCTTACATTTTTTTTAAATATTACTGTATCTAAAGCAGATTGCGATTGGTGGGCGGAAACTTTTGACATTAGTGCGTCCGATAAAATGGGACACCATACTAAATCGTAACTGCCTGAATATTTCTTTATATTGTCTGCCAGCTTATAATAAATTTGAATAATTAATTACAACTAACTGCACCCTATACACTAACTGCAATTATCTCTGAAAGTGAAATATCTTTATAGTATATAATTTCAGCCTGAAAGAACACTTAAAAGCTGTTATTTTTCACCTATGAACCTAAGGTAATAATAAAAAAAACAATAAATTATTGTTTTATAATAATTTAACTTATAGCTATGAAAATTACGCAAATAAACATTGAACATTCATCATCATCATCATTGCAGACCTTTAAAAGTCCACTGCTGAATATAGGCCAAGAAATACGACAAAGTACAAAATATTGAACATTGTCATTTGCTAAAAGAAATCAATTATTAATTATTATAACATATTAATTATTTACAATATAAAAGCGATAAAAAACGAAGTTACTTTTTATCACCTAATTACCAGAGATAATACAAAAATGTTATGTTAAAAAATCACCACTTAAACTTCACAATCATTTTTAGCACTTTTTTAATTATTAAAATTACTAATTCATACGCCAACCTTCACTATCAAAGCCACAGGGAAAAATAAAAACAACTGAAACGCCGCGATAAGGCGCACACTAATGACTCTTTCCTAGTGATTTGCATTAAATTGTTTCGATTCAACGTCGCTTATCTTACTCTAAATTAGTTTACTCGTGAATGTGTTTGTTATTTTTGATCTAAATCTCTTGATAGATAAAATTGTTAACCTTAGGAGTTAAAATTAAACTGAGATTATCTTTATTGTCCGTAATATGACCATTATTTTTTCTCCACACAGATTGAAAAACTCGACCGCCGCTAATCAAATGCTGAATCAACTATTTGTTGTTTACTCATATTAAATAGTGACGACGTATTCAAACGCTAACTCACGACAAAAAGTTTACTAGGTCAAAGTCGTGGGAGGTGGGGTGTAGACTTTGGTGTGGGGCAACTTGGGGCCATCGATAAATTTCGGTGAATAGTATCATTATAATGTTACCGTTACCATTAGTCTTTCAAATGTCCACTGTTGAACATAGGCCTCTCCAATAGATTGCCTCACAGGATCTTCACATTTGTGAGTTGCCGCGTTTGGCAGGCGGATTAGCAACAGCAGTTATATTTTTATTTTTTAGTTGATATTAAGAAGACGCTGCTGCCCATATTGTTTGTTTCCGTCTGTCGCCTCTTACGACACCCACGGGACGATATGGGGTAGTGGATATTCTTACACTGCACGGTGTCAGAATATAATGTACCTACTATTTATTATTTGCTAATAGTACAAAAATGTAAAAATATTGCTTATAAGTATTTTATTTATTTATTTATGCTTTATTTGCACAAAAAGGCGGACTTAATGCAACAGGGCATTCTCTACCAGTCTGCCTCCAGGCTAAGCAGAGAAAATATTGTGGGTGCAAAGTGCAAACAGTTACGTCAATAATATCTATGTCTACATAATACATACAGTATATATATATATATATATATATATATATATATATATATATATATATATATATATATATATATATATAATGTACCACGTAGTGCTAAGAATTATAGTATATACAGATAGGTTTGCCAACTTAACTGTATTAAAATTATATGACTTCCCACTGTATCAAATGACTTCTTGGTTTCGTCGATATAAAACAGCATTCGTACTTTCTTACAAAAACCTGTATACTACGAGGGTGGATTGAAAAGTACTCGGCCTAACACAGATCCATTCAATTCTAAAAATCAAATCTACCCACATTATTTAGTTCAGTTCAGACTAGTTCATTGTGTGAAGTTCGAAACGTGTGCGATAATTAGTTGTGATTTTATAAATTTATTAACAAAGTAATCGGACATAATTTCCGCAAATGGAGCAAATCGAGCAGCGTGCCGTCATTAAGTACCTCCATAAGAAGGGGCTATCATCAAAAGCCATCCATGATGACATGGTCAGTACATTAGGCGATTGTGCTCTGTCATATTCATCCGTCAAAAAACGGATAGCAGAATTTAAGCGTGGTAGAGAGAGTGTGAAAGATGAACCCCGCTCTGGAAGGCCTTCGACGTCAACTACTGACGAAAATATTAAAAAAGTACTTGATTTAATAATGGGAGACCGCAGATTAAAAATTAGAGAGATAGCCGAGATTATAGGCATCTCTTATGAACGAACTCAAAACATCATTGTCAACGAGTTGGGTTTCCACAAGGTGTCTGCGAGGTGGGTTCCGCGACTGCTTTCAGTTGAACAAAAAAGGACGCGATTGACTATTTCACGCGACTGTTTGGAGTTATTTAAAGCCGATGCAGATGATTTTTTGAATCGTTTTGTTACTATGGACGAAACATGGGTTCATTACTGTACACCGGAAACAAAACAACAATCAAAACAGTGGAGAAGACCTGGTTCACCACCCCCTAAAAAGGCTAAGTCGATTTTGTCGGCAAATAAGGTGATGGCTTCAGTATTCTGGGACTCGAAAGGTGTGATTACGATTGATTATCTTGAAAGGGGTCAGAATATAAACTCTGATTACTACTGCACCTTACTACGTCGTTTACGAGAGGAAATAAGAGAAAAACGTCGAGGAATGCTCAGAAGAAAAGTCCTGTTTCATCAAGATAACGCCCGTGTTCACACGTCAGTACAGTCAATGGCTGAAATTCACAACTGTGGCTTTGAACTGTTACCGCATCCGCCGTATTCACCTGATCTGGCACCATCAGACTTCTTTCTGTTCCCTAACCTAAAAAAGCACTTGGGAGGTCAAAGATTTTCGACAAACGACGAGGTCAAAGCAGCTGTAGACGCATATTTTGACTCTAAGGAAGAATCATTTGTTTTCAACGGTCTAAATGCTTGGAAGGGGAGGTGGCAAAAGTGTATTGAACTTGATGGTGATTATGTAGAAAAATAAAAATATAACTGATTTAGTATTTGTTTATTTTCTTGGTTAGGCCGAGTACTTTTCAATCCACCCTCGTATATATATATACTTGCTTACACTAAATCTAGAGCCGTGAAATTGAATGAAATGCCGCAATGAAATTATTAACTGCAATTTTAAGTGTTAATTTACCACGTATTCAGCGGTGAAGAGAAACATATTGAAGAAACTTGCATGTCTGAGAAATAAAGAAAATTGGAAGAGATGTGAAGTCCGCTATCACGAATTGGGGCAGCGCAGCGGACACTTTCTTGCCCTAAAACCCTCTCAGCAGTGAGAGGCGACCTGTGCCCAGCAGTGGGACGTATAAAGGCTGTAACTTAAACTTTTACCTTGACACTAAATCTAATGAAAACTATTTGGCACCCTCAATACAACAATGATTAAACGATTTTTTTTTCGAATGTGTCCATTAGATATATGTTATGGTTTATACCATATTGAAAAACGTCATATATGCGAGTCAATTAGGTTTCCCTATGATTCCCAAATATTTTTTTAATAGAATAAGTGTGACATACGAATACACAGACACTGATGGTAATTGGATACTTTGGCCAAAAGATCTAAAGGACAATGTCTAACTCGCCTAAGAACCAACAGATATTTGACAATGACCAAAATTCTTGTCCTTAATTATGCATTAGATAACATTCATTAGATAGTAACGGACACTTCTGAATTGTGAAATCAAAATAAAAAGGACTTTTTCGATTTTGAACTTTGTACCTAGTTTTTAATACTAATGTACTGCGTTTATGGCCTCCTGTGATTTGGCCAATCGCACAATACCTTAACTCACATATTTCAAAAGTTGTCATAAACTCAAATATATTATGAAAACGTTTATATTTTAAAATATAAATAAGATTAATATATGCCACAAGGAACTGGGGTACAGTGAAATCATCTATTTTCATTTAAAATAACAAACTATTTTACTCTCCTTGGCAAATTAGCATTGTGCCACGCAAAAAAAAGACAATAACATTGACAAATTAATGACAACGTGTCAAAACTAAAAATAAATAGACGTCAGGTGTGCGATCGTTTTGGTTTCGTTTGAAAAAAAAAAACAAAAAATACATTTCTGCAAATGTTTTCGGAATCTAAGTGCACTGTGCAGTTGGTTGGCTTAGCTTTCCATTGACGTCAGTGGAGTTTGGTGTTGATAGGTATTTTTACAGAAAGATTACACTATTATAAGCACACACACAAAGTCTCAATATACGGAAACGCGTAATTTTTGAGAAAAGAATAATTGAAAATCAATTATTCTTGCAATGTCATTGTCGACGTCAA